TAAACAGATATGGTATTTTACTATTTACAGATCATGATGTTTATGCTCTTTTGTGTGTGTCTGTAACTGTCCCTCCTTCCTGGACTTTCCAAGCATTCACAACTTGGAGTTAGATGCTGTCATTAATCTGTAGTTACTTCACAGTTAACGCAGTGTTTCTTGTAAATAATAATATGACTAGAGATATTAACAAGGCTGTTTAACTGTAAGTCACAAACTGATATTATATTTGTGCTTCAATACATATTAATATTGATTGGCTATCTGGGGCACATATTAATGCGGCCTCAGAAAAACACCCTAACAGGGCCTCAGTCACATGTCAATTGCGGACTTCCGGCGACCTAATTTGCGGACTACCGCCACCGCCGAGAGTAACTCCCGCGCGCTCACGGGGCGTAGATTAGCGCTAAACTAGATGGCTGGGACTCACGAGCAGCAGCTTCTGCATCTCCTGCAGCTTAGCTTGTGAGTCCCAGGAATCTAGTTTTGCCCCAATCCACCCCGCGTGAGCGGCGTGTGGGATAGTCTCGGCGGTGCCGGTAGTCGCCGGTAGTCTGCACATTAGGTCGCCTGAAGTTCGCAATTTACATGTGACTGAGGCCCTGTTTTTGGCACCCATAATATGTGCCCGTTATTCTGAGGATAGCCTATTGATTGAATTATTTTGTATAGCTGTAGTTTTATTTTAACTTTTTCCGTTTAGAAATGTGTATCAGTCTTTATGTGTGTTATTTTCTTACATAATATGTGCCGTACCTATTTCATATACTTATGTATAATGTAAATTTGTATATATACAGTATATATGTACGTATTGACAGATTTTCTTTATCAATATAAATTTATTCTCTGTATTGTATGAAATGTGTGGGCCCCCCCCCCCCCCCCCCACCTTCCTGTATTACCTTCCCTCTCTCCAGGGCCATATCATTGAAGACTTGCAGTTTGCTGCAGTCACAGTTTAATTATTTTGTTAGTCTGTATTTTTCCGTTGTGGGATCCGGAGCCCTATTGGGATGGGGGAGAGAAGAAGAGAAGAGAGAATAGACCCACTGCTTCCACTAACAAGGATGTCATAAAAGTCGACTAATTAGGAGTATTTCCTTTGAAGTTGGAGTGTATCTGCATGAGAGACAAGGAACCATCAGTCTGCATACATATGTCAGATCTGTAAAATAGATGTGCACGCAAAACTCAGGTTCTGAAACCAGACTGAAGTCCAGAAGTGGAAAAACTAATTAATGACTTTGACATACTTATGCTACAGAAGTTAAAACTAATGTATTAGTTAACTAGATGACATCAGGTACCATCAGTATAGAGACTCTTTACTGTCTGTTGAGGAGGGAGATGGAGCTAATCTTCAATGCTATGATGTTGAATCTTCATCTAGATGACCGTAGATGAGTAACACAACTAAAAATGAAATTTATCACTTAGAATAGGGCTATTCAGCTGGTATAATGCGTGCTGAGGGGGCTGCCTGGTCTCGAGGCATGGTATCCGCCTTGAGGGCTATCTTCCAAATAACGGTCCCAAATTATTGAGGCCGAAAATATACCTTAACAGGGCCGTAGTCACGTGTCAATTGGCGACTTAAATTAGTACTTCCTGCTAATTAAATTGCTCACTTCCGGCGAATACCGCCACCGCCGAGACTATCTCCCACACCGCTATGCGCAGCAGCTACCGCATCTCCTGCAGCTTCCTTCATTTTTATTTGCTCATGAGTTCCAGCCAACTAGTTTAGCCCCAATACACGCCGCACGTAGCGGCTTGGGAGATACTCTCACAGGTGGCGGAAGTCCGCAATTGACACGTAACTGAAACCCTGTAAGGGTATATTTTCACCCTCGATAATTTGGGACCGTTATTCGGGAGATAGCCGTCTTGAGTGCTAGAGGTTCCAGGTTCAATCCCCAGTAAGGGCTATGATTTTTTCATGTGGAATTGGACTTTTAGCAATTCCCCCTGGTCTCTGGGTGGTGAGATTGGATGGATGCCCATGTGTATTGTTGCACATGTAAAAAATCCCTTGGCAGTTGAGTAATCAAAAAGAGTAGCTTAATGGCACTGCCCAGGCAAAATTTTGAGTTTAAAAAATCTACCCAAAGTAATTTAGGATCCTCGCTGGTGCTACAGAGCCTGTGCACTGTGCTGAGCTTCTTCGGACTCAGATTTGAGATAGAAGAAGAATGGAGCACTTATGGGTTACTACCCGTGTGTCATGATGTTGATCTGTTGTTCAAACCTCAAACCGAATCTAGCCTATCAAGTGGCCCCTGGATCATTGCCAATTATAGTGTATTAATGGTCTTTATGTACTGTGGCTTGGTGCTCTGTCCCATGACAGTCTCCATTGTCAGCATTTTGGCCTCTGAGTAAACTTAGTTGAACACCCCTGACTTAAAATCTTTGAGCCTTTGACTGTGTCGCACCCACTGACTTATACATAGCACATATTCAGAGAAACATCAGTGTTATTCTCTTAGTGAACAGCAAACATTTCTCATATATTTCTTTTGTTGCTGCTACTAATTGTATTGACATTTGTTTGTGCCATTAATTCATAGGCTGCAGGGCATGACTGTTGACTATTTATTACCCCACCTTCCCCTAGAATCCAGGTTATGGAGTCACTTTTGTATCCCAGCAGAACTATGTATAAAGTGTTTCTTTATATTCCAGGGAAACAGGAAAACCGCTGTTAACAGCTGTTATTATAAAAGAAGATGATGACGAACGAACAAACTTTATTTTCAAAGGGTTACAAATTAGGCACACAGGCCTGTCTTGCATTCGGCCCTTTCAAACTCCCATCTTTCACACAGCAGTTGTATTTCACCAATAAAGCATGTTATTTTTATGTTATAATATGCATATTATGAATATCAAGTCAAAAACAAAAGCATGGGTGGTAAAATATGTGCGCACACTGACAGGATACTGAGCACATTTATTCATGCATTGTCCTCTTGTGCCATTATGTGTCACACAGGGCTTGCGGTCTGTTTGTCCATTCTGTTCTTCTTCTTCTTGTCTCTACACATGGAATGCCTTGTGGCGTCAGGGCAGGAAGAGATCTCTGGAACGGGCCCTTCTGTTCACTTCTTATAAAGTACTTTTCAGTGTCTCTGATATTTCTGTGGTCCATTCTCTGCATGGTCGACCTCTGGATCTGTTACTGCTATACCTCTGTGGTGCCCTGTCTGATGCCAGTCCGTTCTCTGGATCTGTTACTGCTGTATCTCTGTGGTGCCCTGTCTGATGCCAGTCCGTTCTCTGGATCTGTTACTGCTGTATCTCTGTGGTGCCCTGTCTGATGCCAGTCCGTTCTCTGGATCTGTTACTGCTGTATCTCTGTGGTGCCCTGTCTGATGCCAGTCCGTTCTCTGGATCTGTTACTGCTGTATCTCTGTGGTGCCCTGTCTGATGCCAGTCCGTTCTCTGGATTTGTTACTGCTGTATCTCTGTGGTGCCCTGTCTGATGCCAGTCCATTCTATTCTATGCAAATATTTCAGCATCATGGATACAATCCAGTCCAGAATCTTTGGCCTCTCTCATCATTATTCGCTCTAGTTTTTTTGTGTGTTTTTTTCCTTAATCCCTTTTATTTCCATTTTAGTGCTGGTAATCTGGTCACCCCATCTTTGCTCCGCTCCTGTGCCAACGAAAAACACACAGAATGTTTATCACAGTCCCTTGTGGAAAGACTGACAAACTGCTCTCTCAGCATATCTAGCACGCACTCGCATTAAAAGCATATGGTAGCCATCCGAAGTGCTAACACAAACAGTCCGACGTTAGAAATGCAGTTCATCATTGTTTACTAAGAGACCATTTTAGTGCATCTTCGGTGATTCTCTGCTTGTCACTGAGTTCAATATAGCGCAGTCTTCTATGTCTCATAACTGTTGATTCTAGTGGTTGCCTAGACATTTCTCTTATTTCTGGACCCCTCTACAAATAAATTATTTTGAAACTTTTTCCCCCCATGTCTCTAGTGGTTCTCCAACGGTCACTGGCATATGTTAAAACTGAAATTACGTTAGAATTAAAAATACAAAACTTTGTTTTAAAACTATACGATTGAGAGTTCCGTCTTTTGTTCATACAAGAGAAACCCTACCTTGATAAAAGAGGCCTGACATACAGGATTAGACTCCATGTACAATATATATATATATATATTTAAAAAAACCTGGACAATAGTTTTTTTTTGGCTATCCCCCGAATAACGGGCACATATTATGGAGGCCGCAAAAAAACAGAGCCTCAGTCACATGTCAGTTGCGCACTTCCAGCGACTTAATTTGCGAACCCACTCACACGGCGTGGATTGGGACTGAGACTCACAAGCAGCAGCTTCCGCATCTCCTGCAGCTTTGCTCGTGTGTCCCAGCCATTTGGTTTAGCCCCAATTCATGCCACATGAGCGGCATGGGGGATACTTTCGGTGGTGGCGGTAGTCACCGGAAGTTCGCAAATTAAGTCGCCCGAAGTGCGCAATTGACACGTGACTGAGGCCCTGTTTTTGGCCGCTATAATATGTGCCCGTTATTCGGAGGATAGCCATTTTTTCTTGTTCTGGTTGTTCGTCCACTTCTGGACTTCTGTCTTTTAGAGCTTGAATTTTTCATGCGTTTTTCTGTTCTAAAGATCTGGCTTATTTCTTTGCAGACTGTTGGTTCTTTGCCTCTCAGGCAGATGCACTCTGAAGGAAACAACCCTAAATAGTTGCCTTTTTTGACATGATTGTTAATCGCAGTGTTCTATTGTTATTTTCCAAAAATAGTGCCTCAAAACCGACATGGTAATTTGGAATGGAGGAATCGCCGATGAGCCCTAAATGACATTTAAAGGGAATATTCATATACATTTTGGTTAAGAATAATCTTATATTTAACTCTTTCAATACCATAGACTTTTGACTTTCATTATATTGTTTTTATTTTCAGTAAGACAAATCCTTTAGGTGATTCCTTTGGGGTTAACCATGTCGAACTTCGATCCTTGTGAGTGCATTGATATTTACAACCATGAGAATGCCATGCGCAGGTTGATTAACATGGTAAGCCATTATAATGTTCCAGAAATCAGTATCTGAACTTATGCAAACTTTACCACACTTTTGCTTTCTTTCTTTCTTTCTTTTCTTTCACCTGCTTCATGCACTAGAGCGGTGGTTCTCAACCTTCCTAATGCTGCGACCCTTTAAACAGTTCCTCCTCTTGTGGTGACCCAAAACCATATACTTATTTTGTTGCTAGTATATAACTGCAGTGAATATGTGTTTTTTAATGGCTTTAGGTGACCCCTGTGAAATGGTCGTTTTGACCTTAAAAGGGGTCTCGACCCACAGGTTGAGAACTACTGCACTAGAGGTACTTACGTTCAGACTTCTTCTTTTCGCTCACAAAGTGCTAACATCGGCGGAAAGTTCTGGTTGTTTGTCCACTTTTGAACTTTCATCTTGTTCCAAAACCTGAGTCTTGTGTGTACATGCATTTTACAGATATGACCTACTTGTGTGCAGGAAGGGAACAACCCCGATTGGTTACCTTCTACCTTATGCTAGTTAGGGGGAGAGGGAGGCAGTAAGTGTAAATTTGGTTCTTCCTCTTCTTCTTTGTTCACTGCCTGTAATCTTCAGTGAAAGGTCCTGGTTGTTCGTCCATTAGGGCTTTGTGCCAGTGCCTGAGTTTTGAGTGTGTATTAGTTTTACTGGCTGATTTGTGTACAGTTAGTTGATCCTTGCCGCTCGGACAGATGAACTCCAACTTTAAAGGAAGCCCCCAATTTGTTGACTCCTGCGACGTGCTCGTTGGGGAGGCAATGGGTCTCTTCTTTTTCCTATGATGATGCCCCAGAACCTACACCAGGATGCATCCCCCCCCCAAACCAAACAAATCACTTAGACAGACTGGCTGCTCCCGCATCACTTGGAGGTGAATTGATGCATGACAAGATAGGTGTTGTAAAGAACCTTTGGGAGCGAGTGAATGATGTGGTGGACGAGAAGATAGATCATCATAGTATGAAGAGAGTGGTGCAACAGGGAGTGACTAGGCTGTCTGGCTGTCATTCAACACTCAGAGGTAGCACAGAATGGTCATTTAATCAGACAAATGTCACAGATATTAAAAAAACCCACTGTGGACATGCTATCAGTTCAGGCCTTGTTGAAGTAAGCAGTAATAATAATAAAAAATTTTTTATTATATGATTGATATAAATTGAATATTATTTTGATAGTATGTTTCTGTCAGCTAAATTTTAATCTGAGACATCTTCAGTTGTTTTGATGTCACTAAAAATCGGATGCTTTGTTTTTCTCTCTTTTAATTACAGTATATGGTGTTTATATGCACTTATTCTAAAAAGATAGCGGAATAGCTGCTTTCTTTCTCTCATTCTTTCTCTCTCTTTTTTTCTCTCTTTCTTTCTTTCTTTCTTTCTTTCTTTCTTTCTTTCTTTCTTTCTTTCTTTCTTTCTTTCTTTCTTTCTTTCTTTCTTTCTTTCTTTCTTTTTCTTTCTTTCTTTCCTAGCTGAATATCGGCTTCTTTCTCTTTTTTCTTCTATTAGTGTGTTCATAAAAAGAAAGCATTGCATTCCCCTGACGGTTTCTGTTGTAAAGGTGGGAAGATTACATTTTCTAAGTCATGGTATAAGGCAGAATGAGCACATGCTTTCCCTGTTGGTGACCAACACATTCCATCCTAGGAAATTCACATAGTTGTGAAAATGATTCCTCACCCAGTTTTCAAAACTAGGTCAACTCAGGGAGCTTTACTGGCCAGAAATAAAAATCCAGTCCTGTGTGACTCTGATGAATTGAAACCTGAACCCGAAATCTCTAAGTAAATCATATAGTCATAATAGAACAACATAGTCAATATAGTCAACAAAGAACATCTTGTGACCACTGGAAAGATATGTGGAAGGAGAGATAGAGGAAGACAACGAGAGAAGATGCTTGACAGTCTTGTTGCATGGCATGGAGGTGTGTCGGCACACGAACTGATACATGCTGCAGGAGATCGCAGATTATGGAGAGGCATGATTGCCCACGCCAGTCGGCAAGGCACATGATGAGGATGATAGTCATAAAAGCTGGTTTATTTCTCTTCTTTCTTTACTAGCTGAATAGATGCTCTCTGTCTCCTTTTCTGATAGTTATGGGTTTATATGAAGAAAGCATCCCCATGACAGGTTCTGTTGTAAAGGCGGGAAGATTAAATGATCACACATAGATCATTTGAAGGGGAAACAGAGGCGGACTTTTAATCAGGTTGTAACTGGTACTATTAGCATGTCTACTCTTTGTTGGTTGCTGAAGAAGGGGACAGAGCATGTGTGGGAGTGTCCCGAGTGCAGTGATGTCAGTTCTTGATTCATGAATTCATTCGTTCATTCATTCGTTCATAGAAGATCATGATATCCTGAAGCAGAATCAGCACGTGTCTTCCCTGTGTGGGTTCCCGGGCCCTATTGTAGGGAAAAGAACAGACCCACTGCCTAAACAGGCACAACACATCTGCATTCAGATTAATTATCACATGGCAGAAGAAAGCTGGAACACTAGATGAGTAAGTAAGAACATTGTTATCATGCCTTCTTATGTTCTAATTCATAATTTTTCCTCTGTCACAGCTCAGAGACTCTCAGAATGCTTGCACAGACGGTGGTTGTGAGATAAGTAAGCATTATTTGTGTCTGTGGTGCAGAACATAAAAGTAAAAGAGTAAAGATCCCTTTACACGCCCTTAGGCGCATCGGGCATATGGGAAGAGCACCCATATTTTTACAGACCAATCGGCACTCGGTGGGTAATGTGGTCAGCATTACGCCGGCCGTCTTTACTTTCCCAGGACAGCCCATCCTGGTACCCATTTGAGGCTGGGTCGACCTGCGACGTCCCATACCACGATAAAAATCCACGCTGCCCATGCAGGTTTCGATCGCGGTACGTTGGATTACGAGTCAGACTCGCAACGCCTTTGCCACGGACACCGCTGGTGCAGAGCATAGTCTCAGACAAACTAGAGAACAAAAAGTAAATCATGAGAATAGGGATACAGTGTTTATCAATATAACTGCTTCTTCTTCTTCAGCCAGAGACTGCCTCCACCTCCATTCTCAAACTAGACGTTGTGATATCATATACAAGGTTTTGCTGCACTAGGCGACATCCTATGAAACCCCATGCACTTCATCTGCCCCCTCAACACAGATCCATCTGTATAGATAAACTCACACCAGGTCATTCTGTCCTCTATTATTGCATGCAGCTCTCCCCATGTCCTCCCATCTTTTTAACCTTACTCTCTAGCTCCCTTCCCCTTGTGTTTTTTGGTCTTCCTTTCTTTCTGTGTCCCTGTGGGTTCCAGTACAAGGATATTCTAGTTATATTGTCTCAGGCTTTCTCAATTTGTATCATATGCAGCAACATCGTCTTTTCTTCATCTCTCGGTCCGCTGGAACTTGTTTAGTTTTCTCCCAAAGCTCTATATAAGTGATTCCATCATACCATACCAATTAATTCCCTCTATTCTGCACAGGCACCAGTTAATAAATGTTCGTAGTTTATTAATAATTGCCCTAGTTGTTCGCCATGTTTCCGCTGCATACAACAGTACTGATTTGACATATAACTGTGCTACAGAATAAGAAATCATAATAGGGTTTCCCCATCTGGAGCGAGAAGTAAAATTGCACCCTGTGGAAGGCATTTACGGGTTTTGCATGAAGAGACTTGAAGTCTTTGGGCAGTGGTCACTACGCCCATATAACAGCTGTGGTGCTGGCCACAACTACATACTGTGTAGACATGTTGGGTATTACAGTAAATGACAAAACTGAGATGTTACTTTAGGTTTCTTCTTCTTTTTTTTTTGCGTTCGGTTTCGTATGCTCAGATCAGACCCTCAGGTGGTTTGCCTCTATAAACTCGCAATGTCAGCTGCAGGTCCTTCGTGGTTATTTGAGGTTTTTTAAAAAAATGACATGTTTGAAAGTTGTGACATTATGGTGATGTCATATTTAACACACATTAGTGTTTTCGTTCATAGAAAACTTGCAAAAGTTCTTTTGTTGCGATCAGATTTTTAGAGTTAATAATACAGTAAAACCTTGTTAACACAAATTCCAAGAGACTGAAAAATCAAAGAGTTGTTTGTGTTAAATTATTTGAGCTAACTGGGGACTCGCATCCCTGCTGGGATCAAAGTTTTGTTCATGTTTACCGGGTGCTCTTCTTAAGTGGGCTCATGTTAACCAGGTGTCACTGTAGTAATTACTTTGAATGAGAGTTGCTCTGGTGTCATGGGTTCAGATTCTGATTGAACCGGACTTTGTCCACCAAAGATTATCTTGGCTCCCAGGTCGACCCACTCTTATATGGGTACCAGGTAAAGTTCTGGGCTGTAAAGGCGGCAGGCGTGTTGTTGACCACATCACCCACAGAGTGCAGACTGGTCTATAAAAATATATGTCTAGCCCTATGTACCCAATACGCCTGAAAGCATGTAAAAGGGTCCATTATTTTTTTTAGAACTACTTTGAATGTACAGACCTGGCAGTGACTGTGTAGACCTGACACCGATTGTGTAGATCTGGCACCGATTGTGTAGACCTGGCAGTGATTGTGAAGACCTGACACTGATTGTGTAGACCTGGCACTGATTGTGTAGACCTGGCACTGATTGTGTAGACCTGGCACTGATTGTGTAGACTTGGCACCGATTGTGTAGACCTGGCACTGATTGTGTAGACCTGGCACTGATTGTGTAGACCTGGCACTGATTGTGTAGACTTGGCACTGATTGTGTAAATCTGGCACTGATTGTGTAGACCTGGCACTGATTGTGTAGACCTGGCACCGATTGTGTAGCCTGGCACCGATTGTGTAGACCTGGCACCGATTGTGTAGACCTGGCACCGATTGTGTAGACCTGGCAGTGATTGTGTAGGCCTGGCAGTGATTGTGTAGACCTGGCACCAATTGTGTAGACCTGGCACCGATTGTGTAGACCTGGCACCGATTGTGAAGACCTGGCACCGATTGTGTAGACCTGGCACCGATTGTGTAGACCTGGCACCGATTGTGTAGACCTGGCACCGATTGTGTAGACCTGGTAGTGATTGTGTAGACCTGGTAGTGATTGTGTAGACCTGGCAGTGATTGTGTAGATCTGGCAGTGATTGTGTAGACCTGGCAGTGATTGTGTAGACCTGGCAGTGATTGTGTAGACCTGGCACTGATTGTGTAGACCTGGCACCGATTGTGTAGACCTGGTAGTGATTGTGTAGACCTGGCAGTGATTGTGTAGATCTGGCACTGATTGTGTAGACCTGGCAGTGATTGTGTAGACCTGGCAGTGATTGTGTAGACCTGGCACCGATTGTGTAGACCTGGCACTGATTGTGTAGACCTGGCACCGATTGTGTAGACCTGGCACCGATTGTGTAGACCTGGCAGTGATTGTGTAGACCTGGCAGTGATTGTGTAGACATGGCAGTGATTGTGTAGACATGGCAGTGATTGTGTAGACATGGCAGTGATTGTGTTGACATGGCAGTGATTGTGTAGACCTGGCACCGATTGTGTAGACCTGGCACCGATTGTGTAGACCTGGCAGTGATTGTGTAGACTTGGCACTTGTCAGTTATTTTGAATGATGTCATTCCCTTTGTTTTCAATATTGACTGTTTCCAGCTCCCAATGATCCGGCAAGCCCCAACTGCACTGAAGGCTACATGATTTTGATGCTGGGGTGGGTCGTTGTTGCAACCCTGTTGTATTTGATGAGACCAAAAACTCTGCGTCTTCGCGGGGATGAGAAGCCGGCTCCTTCTTCTGGGGTAAGTTACAAAATGCTTTTCATACTAATTAGCCGTCGTTAATTTATATATCTGTAATTTCAAGCCCTCATGTGGACACTGGAAGGGAAGAGGAAAAAAATGGGGAAGACCAAGAGAGACCATGCCTAGAGCCATCATTGGGGAAGGCTCAGCCATGGGTCTAACAAACATCCAAGACCTAAAACAGGTGGAACTGAACCGCCAGACATAGAGAACTATGCCCTGTGCACCGCCCTAGGCTCAAGAGGAAAGACTGATTAATCTTCTAGTCTTTTCTGATGCACTGTGTAGAGAAGCTATAGCTGCAAGACTAGATTCAATACGCATTATCAAAAACATTCCACAGATAGAATGGAATGACAGAGTCAACTGTGAGCTTTATGCTACATGTGAATGGCACAATAGCATCATGAGTAATGATTATTGTATGCAAAATCAAAGAGAGAAAAGAATCGATCCTCAGCCTTGGGCGAAACCTTCACATTCTTTACAAAATATTGCACTTTGCTCTGAGATGGGGATAAAATCTGGTTGTCCTGTCACTTAATTTTGTGATTTATTCCATGTCTTCTTCTTCTCAACGTTCACCAGCTATAAACTCCAGTGGGAATTTCTTGTTGTTCATCCACTTCTGGGCTTTGGTCTTGTTCCAGAACATGATTGTGCAGGCTGTTGGTTTGTTGCCTGACAGATGCACTCTTACTTTGAAGGAAATATCCCTAGTTAGCTGCCCTTTTATAGCATGCTTAAGGAGGACTGTGGGTCTGTTCTTGTTTCTCCCAAAATGAGAGCCCAGCACCCACATGGGCCAATCCTGAAGTGGATTCGCAACATCTTGAAGAGGACATGCAACTGACTTTTTTTTTAAATAGCTTCTAATAACTCTTTGTTTTCCATCTAATTTGGCAAAAATATACTGAGAGAATATTTGCTCTTTAGCTCAAGTAAGCGGGAGCTGCGGTAGCATTGACGCTAGACATTTATCTTCAGGCCTGAAGATCTTAAGTTTGAATCCATATCTAGTTGGGTTGTTTTTAGAATTCACCTTGGCTCCCAGGTCAGCCCAGTCAAAAATGGGTGCCAGGTAAAGTAGTGGGATTTTAGCGCCAGGTTTTGAAGATACATCGGGTGCGTGCCTTGTTCATTTACAGCCTTGGATATTCCATCAATCCATCGTTTGTAAGCTAGCAATGTTGGAGTTGGCTAACTGTTCCTTAGAAGGATGAAAAGCAAAAATTAGTGGCCTGCCAACAACCCAAAGACACCCAGACCAAACCCGTCTCCATGCCATGTACACTAGAAAACTGAGACTGCAAGGTCTTGGCCTAATGGAGCTCTGGGTCACCAGGTGGGGTGTGATCTTCTTCTTCTTTTGTCATCTCATTGATACTGAGTTGTAGCCCAGTGTCGTGGTTTTCTGTATCTAGTTTCTTATGTAGTAGCAATCAGTTACACCACTGCTGCTTTGCTAGGTCTGTCACAAGACGCGGCATTTACAAAATCTAATTTAATTGGTGCCCGTCTCCGTCCAGTCGAGCCATTGCTCTGTTAGCCTGAAACACGAGAGCTTCAGTTTTCCGCATGCACCACGAGGAGGGGGAATTGACCTGGGTGCTCTGTGGGTCGTTGGCCTACTGCTTAAATTTCTCTTTTGGCCTCTTCCAAGAGAAACAAGCCACCATTAACTGCACTGCAGTGCCAAGCGCCTGAGCAGGCCCTTACACCATCTGATTAAACACTCCCTTAAACTGCTACAGGCCTAGCAAGCTGGCAGTGGATTATACCTTGATCAAAGAAACTATAAGAAGAGAAATGTTACTGACCGCATACGGTATATGTCTAGGGTATTTGCCTGATGCGCCACTGGCAAGAAACGGGTCCTGTTACTGAAGCATCTCTTGTTTTTATGGATACTAAAGATGTTGATTTTCTGCAGGAAGGACCAGGATCTCCACCAGCAGGACCGTCTGTGCACTAAGATGTTGACGATGCCTGTTTGGACAGCCAGTTTCCCCGTATCTTTTCTTTATGACCTACTATTTCAAAAATGGCAAGAATTTGCAGCCACAACGAAATGTTTTTAAAGCTGTGTTGCAGTAAGTCATTTCATGAAAACACAAAATTGTGTCCCAAATTTTTTTTTTTTCGTGGGTGGTTCTCCCCCAAAGTTTTTTTAAATAAATTTTTTTTTTTTAAATTTTGGCTGTTATGATGTAATGACTTGAGGATTTTTCTTAGTTATGCCTTTGTGGACTCGGATTTCGGCACTATAAAAAACTAATAAAAGTGTTTCATTAATGTTACAAAATAGTCGTGTCAAATTTGTATATTTCTCACTTTCATATTTAGCAATCACTGTACGGGTTGTGGGTTCATTTGTTTTCAAAATTCGCTTATTTATTTGCTTCTCAGCAATAGATATATTTTTATGCGTTAAAGCAAATATATATACATGACATTGTATTACTTTGCATAGCTGCTGTTTTATTTCAAGTATTTCGGTTTATAGAAGTGTATATATGTATGTTATTTTCTTGTATATGTACTGTACCTATTTTATATATATGTATAAACATATATGTATAAACGTGATGACAGATTTACTGTATCGGTGTAGCTTTGTCATTTCAAATAATTTTTAGATTGCTTTTGTGTGTGCTTAACTTGAGTAATGAAGATGGTTGAGTGGGGGGGGGGGGGGGGGGAGAGGATAGATACATGGAAAACACAAAGGAAACAAAATCAATCAATAATTGACATCACTGCTCTTGGGACATTTCTAGATGTGCTCCTTCCCCCTCTTCAGTAGCCAACAAAGAGTCGACAAGCTGAAAGTACCAGTTACGAACCTGATTCAAGGTCCCCCTATGTTATGTTATGTGCTAAATATAACACAAAATGTGACTATAAAAATCAGCAGAGGGAATGGAAAAGACTTTGATAAAGACTTTGGTCATAACATTCTGTTGTATTTGTGTCTTTTCCAGCCACATTTCTAATAATTTGAGAGCTCAGTCAGTGAAGTAAAATGCAATGTGTGTATCAAATGAATTGATTGTATGAGCTCTTCTCTCAATAATGTATCTTCTTCTTCACCATTCCGAGCCATTGAGGTTCATTGCTGCAGTTATCACCCGCCTCCATTCATCTCTCTGGTTGGCCCTCTCTTTCCAGTTTGTGACATTGAGTGTTTGCAGGTCTGTCTGGATATTATCTCTCCATCGTCTTCTTGGTCTGCGACCATTCATCTCCCTCATGTATACAGTATTTATTTCTCTGTCATCTGACATTCTTTCAATATGCCCCAACCATTTCAGTCTATTAGCTCTCATGATGCCAGTTATCAGTAGTGATTTAAACAGATTATGAATTTCGTTGTTGCTTCTCACTCTCCATTCACTGCTGTTTGCATCTTTGATGGGTCCAAAGATTCGTCGTAAGACTCTGTTTTGGAAAAACTGTAATAAGGCTTCATCTCTTTTAGTTGTGCTCCAAGTTTCAGAGCCATATAAAATGACTAGTCTTATCAACGTTTTATATATTTTGATTTTGGTTTTGCGAGACAGACACTTTGACTTTAGCAGATGTTGAAGGGCATAGTATACTTTATTTCCAGTTGTATTCTAGATTGTATTTCTTCTCTCAGCATGTTGGAGCAGTTGAAGTTTGCACCCAATTACTTATGTTTCCATTCGTTTGATTTTCATATTATCGACTTGTATGTGGCCGGAATTTATATCCTTTCCCTGTCTAGTTATTATCATGTAATCTGTCTTGTCTTGATTGATAACTAGTCCCATTTTCTTAGCAATAATGTATTATTTGTTTATTTATTACTGTCATGACCTCGAGTTTTTCCACACTAAATGGCTTTCTCGTGTAATAAATATATCCTAGAGCTGCACATGTGAAGTGTGTGAGTTTAGTTCTGTGTCTGACAGATTCTCAAATTAATTAGAAAAGATAAGCCAGGAAAGACACTGCACTGAAGCAAATCCCCAGAGAGATGTGGCCTCAATTCCCTGTCCACCCTACTCAAGAACTTTCAGTGCTAGAATTGGCCATATCAGCACTCATTAAACCTACTCCGGTCACCAATGGATGAAAGGACTGGTCATCATCACCTCTGATGGATGAACAACAGTATTGATTACCACTTATTGGTATCAGCAGTTTTAAGGCAAAGAAGATGGTACTATACTGGGCATTGCTGAGTTTACAGCCGATAAACATGAAGAAAAAGATTCCCCCGTCCTTTATGCTGTGTATGCCCTTGCTAACCTCGCTTGACTCACCATTTGCTGACCTTGACTCACCATTTACTGACCTTGACTTGTCATTTGCTGACCTTGACTCACTATTTACTGACCTTGACCCAACATTTGCTGACCTTGACTCACCATTTGCTGACCGCTCTTGATATCTTTCTGTGGTCCTAGTCACGCTTCCCAGCCCATCTTCAAACCTGCTGACCTTTCATTCATGCTTTATCAGACTGTTCTATGTCAGAGGGGTGTCACATCTTGCCTTCAATTACATCAGTGCTAATGTTGCATGTTCTATACTACATGACACAGCTTTAAAAGACCTCAGAACTGACACTAACCCAAACCCCCTACCCACAACCTGAGCCTAGGTCCCACAAGATACTCTTTTCTGAGAAAACAGTACAATGTGACACCCCTCTGATGTAGACCAGACTGAAAATGTGAACAGGACCCTATCTGTATTAATGACTCTCTCCTGGCATGTATATGTTTCTGATCTGTTGTGCTTTTCAGCATGAGGTTTTCAAAAAGCATATGGTGTGAGAAGAGTTTAGAGGCAACTGAGATGTTGTTCTTGAGAAGAATGTTGTAAACACCTTGGAATGCCAGAATAACTAACAATGATTGCCTGCAAATGGCTAATGAAGGCAGAACATTATATACAACAATGAGACAGAGACAAAGTTCTTTGGTCATGTGAAGAGAAAAGGAGCAATGGAAAATATTGTGAAGACTGGAAAGATCACTGGTAGAAGAGGCAGAGGCAGACCACGAGAAATGATAGTGGATGGCTTGAGACAGTGTCATGGAGGAATATCATCAATGGAATTGATCCAGAACACCAAAGACAGAGATCTGTGGAGATGCATGAACACCAGCTGGCATGGCACTTGAGAATGACTATGATATGGTGCAAGCCTTGGAATGTGTTACATAGATTAATGGCCTCAGATATTCCATCCATCCATCACTTGCTTGTGGGTTCTCCAGCTTTGCCTCCATTGTTTGAGTAACAGGCTCTCTGAAGTTAACTATCTTGTGAAAGTCTTGACAAATCTCTGAACCATTTGATTTGTCTTCTCTTGGTGTCATTTAGCTCTGGTTCCACCTCAACTTAAATAGGGACAGGAAAAGGCCCTCAGGAAGAAGCCCTCTAAAAAGAGTTCCCCTGAATAAAAGCCAAATATGTCATCAAATTGTGCTATATATATAATACTACATACAGTACAAATATAATATAATACATCATATATGGCTATCTCAGTTCATACTTATGGCTGTAAACATGTTTTTTGACAAATGTATGAACATTTGATCTGTTTTCTCTTCATGTGGCACTTGTTCCATCTCAACTTGTTTCCTGATATCATTACTGATTCTATCTCTTCTGCTTACGTTTAAGATTTATCTTCAGACATTTCCTTTCTCTGGTTTCAGTGTTTTATTTTTTCATTTTGTTCTTAATGTCCACAGTAAGTTGTGTATCCCTTACAGGACCATGCAGAACCAACCCCAGCATTTTTTGCCTGCTGTGGTTTTTCTAGGCAAATTTTATGTTTAGTAGTTTGCCACTGCTTTCTGAATGGTCAGTTTCCGATACCAAAGACGTTTTGCTGCCAAATAACCCTAGCTGAGATTGAACTTGGCATTACAAAGCGCATTCACAGTGCTTAAGCCGCAGACAAAAATTGTTTTATACTGTTGTAAATCGATAGTGACTCTTCTGGTGACCAGTTTTTTCTTTAAAAAGTCGTCCCCTCGTAGAATGCAATTTTTTGTTATTTGATGAAGCCCCACCCTGGCTTCGGCCGGGGGCCCTGAATATAACCGGGGCATATCTATGGCCTAGCCATGGATATGGCCTAACGGCTGAAGGGTTTCTGGGACCTATCCACGGGTGATCATCATCTGCATGGTGGCACTTTGGCATGCTGTCCTGCTGAGGTAAACCTACCTACCTAGTGACCAAAAGAAGCCAACAAACAGCAGAGAGAGAGAAGAGAAGAAAACCACAACTAATGGGCATTTGACAAGACCCAGCACTCTTGGCTAAGTTTGATGTTTAATTTCAAAATAAGAAAACTGAAAAACAGATTCACACCTCACACAGACACAATCAGATAATATACTACCTGAAACACTAAAATAATGCATATAAAAGAACACTCCATCAAACGAATATAATTAATATGCTGTGTCATAGTCTTGCAACAGGCCACTGCATGACTTCAGACATTGCTAGGTGTGCAGATTTTTTTTACTCCCTATGCCGTTTCCTTTATTTCAAGGGACATAACATTACTGTACACCATGGCTATTTAACTAAGTCTACTCAGGGGCCAAAATGGAGAATAACTGCCAGATGCAACAACTGGAAAGATTTATGGAAAGAGACAGCAAGAAAGGGTGCTTAACAGCCTTTTGTTGTGGCTATAGGGGAAATGACAGCACACAAACTGATACATAACACTGGAGCTTGCAAGATGCGGATGAGCATACACGTCTACGCCAGTTGGCAAGGCACTCGATGATGATTTCTCTGATTAACAGGCTAGAGCAGTGATTCTCAATTCCTGATCCATGAACCAAACACATTTCGGGCATCTGTGATATCATTTACACACACAAAAATAGCTCTCAACTTTTTTTTTCCTTCTTTTGCGATTTTAATAAAAATTTACTTTAAACAAAATTCCAATAAGAGACACAT